TCATCCAGAGCCTCGTCTCTCACCAACACCTGATCTATTGGTGGTCATATTTTGCATATTTCTATTGTCACCTCATGCCATGGATTAGCAGTGCCCTCTTCACTACTGGAAGCAGAGTCATTAACATTTTTAAGACTAACCAGACTTGAGAACCAATTTAGAAAACTCATCCTTACAATTTTGTTTCTCTAGAACCACTCTTGGTACCGAATGTCTTAGGTTGGGTTCTCTAGAGAAGCAAAGCTAGTGAAGCATCTATATATATGTGTATATATATATATATATATATACACATACACCCACACCCTGGTGGCATAGTGGTTAACAGCTACGACTGCTAACCAAAAGGTCAGCAGTTCGAATCCACCAGGCACTTCTCAGAAACTGTATGGGGTAGTTCTTCTCTGCCCTGTAGGGTCGCTATGAGCCAGAATCGACTAGATGGCAACGGGTTTTATATGTATATATATACATATAGAGAGAGAGATCAAGAAAATGGCTCACGTGGTTGTAGAGTTCCAAATCCGTGGGTCAGGCTGGAGGCTTCTCCTGACTTATATAGGTGCAGGGGCTGGTGAACCCAAGATCCAGACTGTGGAGGTTGATGAATCCCAAAATGGGCAGGCAATCTGGTAGCTCAAGTCCCAAGAACTGGAGGCTAGATGAACAGGAGCCACCTGCAGGATCCAGAGCAAGCAAAAGCCAGCAAGCCTTGCCAGAAAGTCTACCTATATTGGATGCAGGCCACACCCCCAAGGAAACTCCCTTTCCACTGACTGGTTACTCACAGCAGATCGCATCATGGAGGTGATCACATTATATCAGATCTCATCATGAAAGCGATTACATCGTTATATGACTGCCAAAGTATATCATAACTGCCAAACGACAGATTCATGGCCTAGCAATGTTGACACATAACCTTAACCATAACATTGGCTGAAGAAGGAATAGAAAAGCTCTGTGCCAAGGAGGGGCAGCCAACTGAGGGCTCACAGACCTCTCTAGGTGCCGTGTAGGGCATGGCTGCAGGGGTGCGGGAGGAGGCAGGGAGGACAGCGGATAGGGACTCCTACTGTCCAGGTGAGAGATGATGGGGGCTCTGCCAGGGTGGTGGTTGCAGAGGCAGAAGGGGATGGGATGTGTTTGGAAGGTGGAGCCAGCAGGTAAGGAAGAGAGGAATATGAGCTGAGCCTTGTCATGGTCGTGTCAGGGCAGAGGCAGGTAAGTGAGGACTGCTCACAGTCCTCACATATCAAGTCATTTCCTATGATGATCCCAAAATGCCTCCTCACTTACCCTGATGGTTTGCTGTGCTGTGGTCAAACAGCCTGAGAGGGTTATGTGCAGTGCCCTAGGGGCTGGGAGCTAGGTCAGCTGGTGGCCTGTGCCTGTCCCCTTCTGTAAAACGGGGGTGATGGTCTCTACCTCACAGGGTTGTCATGAGGGTGCAGCTTCCAAGGTCTAGGATATGGAGCAGCAGGTCAGAGGGGCATCAGCCATGAGCCAGTCAGGGTTGGCTCCAGTGGGCACAGGTGCAGCACCCCTTGGTAAGGACCTAATGTGCACCCCAACAGGACCAGGCCTTATTTATCTAGTCAGGCTTTAAAAATGTATTTATTAAGCACCTACTCTAAGCCTGGCCCTGTGACCAAGGCAGACATGGCCCCTGTTTTTGGGATCTACATTCTAGTAGGGGAGACAGCAGCAAGTGCTGTGAAGAAAATGAGATGGGGTGTTTTCCCACAGAAGGTTGCATTGAGACTTTGGACGTGTGCCAGTGAAATTATGAACTGCTCTGTTATGAATAGAATTGAGCAGCTCATCTGTTCAGAGAATCCTTTGCTGATCTATCTATAGAGATGTTATTTTTTTCTTAGTGATTTCTAGGAACTCTTTATTAATTAAGGTGATGAGTGAGCCCTTGGTGAGATGAGTTGTCAGTATTTCCCCCCAGCTTCTCATCTGCTGTTTGACTTAACTGATTGGAGGGGACATATGAACAGAGGCTTGAAAATAGGGAGAGTGTCTAAGTGCCCTAAGCCGGCAGTGGGAATAGCAAGTTCAAGACCCCAAGTGAGAATGAGCTTGACATACACGCTTTTAAAACAATATCTGTTGTTTGATCAGATAATGTATGCACATGCTACAAACTTCAAAACACTAAGGTGGGGCAGGCAAGGTCAGGGCCCGTGCCTGTGAGACTTCCATGGGCAGTGATGGCCAATCACGCTCCAAGGTGGGGGACACCTTAGCTTGCACCATGATGTCCACCCAAGGTGACTCAGGCCCCTCCACCGTGTGAGATTCCCAGAGCTCAACTGGGCTGACTGGGGTCCTGCAGGGGCCAGTGGCCGTCGGATCCCCAAGACCCCTACCCCCTCCGCCCTCAGGATGGCTGGGCCTCTCACCACCTCTGCCTAGGAGCGTCACCCTGCATGTGCTTACTTTTGATTCTGAATCCATGCTGGCCTCCCCTGAAGGGGCTGGGCTCAAGGCTTCCTGGAGGTAGGTGGCTCTTGGGACCCCTGCTGGCCCACTGTGTCCCTTTGTTCTACCCAGTTCCTGCCTTTATGGTGCGGACATCATTCCTGGCGGAGACAGGAAACGGACAGAGACTGGTGAGATCTAGGTAGCCCTTAACACAGGGTTATGGATGCGGAACAAGGGGGGGTGGTCCAAGTGGCCCTCCCAGGGTAGGCCTGGTTGTGTGAGGGCCTGAGCTGGGCACTGGAGGAGGGAGCCTGGAGAGCATCAGGCCTTGCCTAAGCACTCACCATGGGTGAGAACCAGATGGGGTTTGTAGCCAGGCCTGGGGACCCCAAAGAACTGCTGCACTCTGACCTGTGCTTGTCTCCTTCCCACCCCCTCTCCGTCCCTCAGGCCCAGGCTGGGCATGGCTGGGCTCCATGTTAGCTCTGAGCCTTCCCAATCTCGTGGGGAAGGCTGGGGCTTAGCTCACCCCGTGTCTAGGGCAGGGGACAGCTCCTGTCTAGTGACCACCATGACTAGGCCCAAAGCGCTTTGGGGTTTCTGGGCAACATCTGCAACCATTCTCTGGATCCCTGCGCACCAACCCGTTAAGGGCTAACAGAGTCCCATTTACAGAGGACAATCTGAGGCACAGAGAAGGAGGGCGTGTGGACCACAGGGAATGGAGCATTCCTGTGCTGGGAATGTGACACGTGAGTTTGAGGCCCCATTCCAAGCCAGGCTCCAGCCTCTCCAATTAGAACATGCTAGTATGGGAACAAAAGGAGCCCTGGTGGGGCACTGGTTAAAGCACTTGGCTGCTAACGGAACCCACCAACCGCTCATTGGGAGAAAGATGTAGCAGTCTGTTTCCATAAAGATTACAGCTTGGAAACCCTATGGGGCAGTTGTACTCTGTCCTATAGGGTCCCTATGAGTCGGAGTTGACTCCACGGCAATGGGTTTGGTTTTTAGTTTTTAATGGGGCAACAGCCTGCACAGGCAGAGAAGGAGAGGGGTGAAAACAAAACCTTTTCCTCAGCTTCAGGTTGTGAAACCTCCAGGCTTTTCCTTCCCCTGTAATGGTCTCCAATTCGTGGTTGGGAGCCTGGCACTTCCAGTGGTGTTACAGAAGGGTAAGTGAAGCCAAGGAGGTGAAGACACTTGCCCGAGGATACCCATTTTATAGACTGAGAAACTGAGGCTCAGACAAGTTAAATGGCCTCCCTAGTGACTTAGGAAATAATACTGGAGTTATTATTCCCTGTCCTTGAGCATAGAGAATGTGACCCAGCTGAAGCTGGGCTCACAAGGACTCACGAAGACACATCAACTGGGCCCTGAGTATAAAGTCAATAGCTAAGATAATCTTGGAAAATGTCTTTTAGGGAAACTTTCACATAAAGCCAATCAAGCAGAACACAAAAGACTTTCCACTCTTGTCTTTTTCTAGTAGCATTTAGTGAATAGAAAATTTGTTGGACCAATGAAGACCCTCCTGTCATTACTGAAACCTGTACCAATGATTGTTAAGACAATTCAAAATGTACGATCACAGTTTCTAGCCAGTCTGTGAAAAGGTGACGCTTTCAATGGTTTTGCCCATCTGTAATGTTTATCCTGATGACTCCGTAATGGTCTCTGGACTCTGGCAGATGTGGCTCTAGCAGCACGTTTGTCGTTCTCCCACTTTTGTCTGTTCTATGATATTTCCTTGGACTCGGGCAGACATGGCTCTGGCAGCATGGCTGTCCGCTTCCCACTTTTGCCCCTCTGAATATATGCTGAATAAAACTTTCTTTTTGCTTTACTAAACTTTCTGATTTTTTTTCCCCCTAAAACACTAGTCAGGGTCGCGCTGTCTCCTTTAGCAGATGGGGGACTGGAAGCCCCGAGAGGAGGAGTGACTCACCTAAGTCATACCTTTGAGCCAATTTCTCCCCTGGACTGGGAGGAGCGACACCGTCCCAACACTGCCTCCTCTGGCTGTTCCCTTTAGGATCCTGAACGCCCACTGGGCGTCTGCCCAGGCCTGGACCGACACTACACTGCCTGACTTCCAACTTGACCCTGGATAAACTCGTCACTTTTCGGAGCTTCAGTTTCCTCATCCCTGGGCAGCCCTGCCACCGGGCCACCGGTGTTGGGTGGGGCTTGGAGGGGCGGGGCAAAGACTGAGAGGAGTCCGGGGACCGGGGTTAGGCGCGCGTCGGATCTAGGAGCTTGCGGTCAGAGCTGAGGGCGAGGCTCAAGTCAGGGGCAGGGCAAGAGCTCCTGAGGGCGCTGTAGCCCACGCTGGCTTGGGCGGGGCTAGCGTAAGGGGCGGGGTCCACGTAGGGGCGGGGTTCAGAGTTCCTGGCAGTGCCGTAGTCACGCTGGCGGGGGCGGGGCCCATGGAAGAGGTGGTGTCAGGGTCCCTGGCGGTACCGTATTCCACGCGGCGGGGGCGGAGCTGTGGCTAGCAGCGGAAAGGGGCGGAGCCGGATGCGAAGGAGCGGACCGAGCCTCCACCGGCGGGGCGGGGCAATCACCGGAGCCCGGGGAGCCCGGGGAGCCCGGCCGACGGACGCGTGGGCGGGGCAGACAGTTCCCGGGACGGCCGAGCGCGGCGCAGTGGCTGCCGCCATGACAGGTCAGTGCGGACTGGGCCGGCGGCGGCTAGTGGGGCTGCCGGGGACGCCCTGCTTGCACAGTGTGGGACGGAGCGCGGCGGCCTCGAGGCTCCGAGGGCGCGGTGCCTCCTGCCGCAGTCTGGCCTGCGCGTCCCGTTCTTTTGCTGCTGTCGCGGGAGGGAGCCCGTCGAGGGGCACCCAGGCTGTGTGACCTTGGCCTCTGTTTCTCATCTGTACGATGGCAACCGCGATGAGGACTAGACAAGATGATAGCTGTGGCGAGTCTGGCCCCTGGAGTGCTGAGTGTGTATGACTATCACTGCGCCTGGTGCTAGTCGCTTATTGTTAAACCCAAACCCATTGCCGTGGAGTCAGTTCTGACTCTGAGACGTTATGAGTAGGACTGAGTAGAACTGCCCCATAGGGTTTCCAAGGCTGTAATCTTTACAGAAGCAGACTGCCACATCTTTCTTCCCTGGAGTGACTGGTAGGTTCCAACTGCAGACCTTTCGGTTAGCAGCTGAGTACTTTAACCAGGGATTTCTTACTCATCACCCCTCAACTGGACCTGCTGCGAGCTGCCCAGGGTCCTGCCTTCCTAGATTGGCGTGGGGACTTGGTGTGGGACCAGGGAAGAGCCCGGGAGGGCATGCCTGACTCTGGCCCCTGCCCGCTCAGGGAAGCAAGGAGTGTTGGAGAAGCAAGCGGGCTACAATGCCAAGGTCAAATCTTGGAAGGTTGGAGGGAGGGAGTGGCCACTTCGCACCTTGGGTATGAAGAGACAGTAAAAAACCAAAAAACCAAACCCGTTGCCTTCGAGTCCATTCCGACTCAGTGACACTATAGGACAGAGTAGACCTGCTCCGTAGAGTTTCCAAGGAGCAGCTGGTGGATTTGAACTGCCAACCTTTTGGTTAGTAGCCGTAGCTCCTAACTACTGCATAGGAAGTGAAAATAACAGCAGTGAACACTCCCGCGGTCCTGCTATGTTTCTGGTACTGTGATAACCCTTCTTGCTCACAGCTCCTGAGGGGTGGTTACCTGTATGTTTACAGTGGAGGCCAGCAGGGCTTGATGTATTCCTGTGCAGCATGTGGTCCCTGTGGGACTTTGTGACACCTCCTGGCTCCCTGTGAAGCTGCACCCCTTACCCTGGACAGGCCTGGGGAATTCAGGGACAGCAGCTAGACTCCCCCAAAGCTCTTGTGCTCCCCTCTGGGCATCCCCACCGCCCAGCCTCTCCAACTTCTTTTCCTGGGATGAGGTCTCCAGCCCAGCCATCCCCCAGGGCCTCCCTGGATCTGGGGAATGCCCACGTCCCTCCTGGCCCCAGCAGCATGCTCTGTAGAACTTTCCCCTTGGAGAGCCAGTATAGTCTCATGAGGGGGATAGACCAGTGACCAGACCCATGGTCAGGGGATGTGGGGGTTCCCAGAGGCCACACCGCATTCCTGAGAGTCTCTCCTTCTGCCTGGTGGGCAGATGTCACCCAGGGGTGGCCCAGGGATCAGGGAGGTCCCAGAAGTCCCCAGTCTTCTCTCCCTGTGCTTGCTGGAGTCTCAGCCTGGATCCCGCACACAAAAGATTTCTTGGGCTGGAACCTGGCAACTTCCAGGACTCCTGCATAACAGCCTCGGTGGGAAGAGACCCCAGCTGCCACCCCCTTCCTTTTGCTACCCCTCTTGACTCATGGCTGCTGATTCTGAGCATCTACTGTGGGTCTGGCCCTATGCTGGGCACTTCCCATCTGTAATTGCCTCATGGGGACATGTCGAATAGCGTCTCTGTGTACAGTGAGGAAACAAAGGCTCTGATTGGGCAGGTGCCAAGGCCTACACTCACTCAGTGTCCGAGCTAGGACTGGGATCCTGACCCCAGTATCTGTGTCTGTGCCCTGGGCAGGCCCCCAGTTTCCCAACTCCTTGTGGCACATTCACCCAAGATGCATGGCCCTCAGAGTCTGTGTTGGCATCAGAGGTGGCCCGTCCCAGGGCTGGGTGTCATCTGCTGTCCTCCTGGTGTGCTGTGGAGTTCGTGATCTTAGCTCACCTGTGGCACTGGAGGCCATGTCGGGTGTTGGGACAAAAGGGGCTGTTGGAGACTCTGGAGGGGAGGTATGGGCTTCAGTGGGCCCAGAACCAGAGGAACTCAGGAAATGGGGGGCCACCAAGCTGAGCACAAGTTAGCCAGATGGAAAAGACAGGAAGGAGTGTTCTTGACCCGGGGGACAGGGCTGGGTGAATGGGCACAGTGGTGAGGTGGGGGCTGCTGTGAGCCAGGTGAGGGTGGATGGGACAAGCGCCCATAGGACCTTGAATGTCACTCTGAGGGCTTGGGTGTAGTTAGAGAAGAGGGAAGGTCCAGGCAGGGGTCACGGGTTTGGGGTCCGTGGTCCTGGGGCAGGAAGGTGGGAGGCTTAGCAAAGAGCCTGGGTTTTGTGCCAAAACTATTCTATATTGATCCTGTGAAAAACATTTTGGGACTTGTTTATCAGAACCTGGAACTTGGGAAGTTTTCATTTCTTGTGCCTTTTTGTGCTTTCCCAGTGGCCTGTGTGTGTGGTTCGTGTGTACAACTCATGAACGTCAACCACAGTAAATATCAGGAAGCTGCAGGGCCCTGAGCTGCCCCTAGGGCCTTGGCGTTCAGCTGCACCACCAAGAGAGGTGACTCAGGCTGATGACTCATGGCCCGTGAGGATCTTAGGGCCCTTCTGGCTAGGGCTGAAGGGCTGGGAAGGTTGCTGCAGGGTGCCGCCTGCTCTCCATCCACCTCCTTGCCCCTGGGGCTCTGATCTTTATCCATTCACTCCAGAGAGCTTTAGTGAGTGCCTGCTGTGTACCTGGTCCCGTGCACACAGTGCAGTGCACACACTGGGGAGGCAGCACGAGACAGGGCAGCCTTGGGCTCTACCCTTGTGGACATGGAATAGCTAGTTACACAATTAATATGTTGATTGGCGGTCAAGAGGTGGCCACTTGACTCTGCTATGCCTGGGTCCCAACCTTCGATCGTCATTTCCTGGCTGGCTGCAATCTTGGGCGAGTACTTCATCTACTTTACCTCAGTTTTCCCATCTGTGAAATGGGAGTGGTGCTGGTGCTACATTACAGAGCTGTTGGAAGGGTGTAGTGCAATGAATGGGTTTCTCTTTATATATGGCCTTTCTGGCCTTGGGTTTGAAATTCTGCCAAAACTGATTGATTGGGCCGTGGTCTGTCCTGTGATTGGTCTATTTTGTGCACCTTGTAGGGATTGATCAATTTGCTACGCATGTAGTGGATTGAAAATCCACCCAATAGGACTGACTGATTTTGCAACCCATTGAGGGAATTCATTGGTTCATGGTCCTGCTGGGAGGGCCATGCCTTGAAAATTCATATTCTGAGGAGGAAAGAAGTCCAGCCAGGAGTAAGTGACAACTGAAAAGAGAGATGAGGTATACAAATGACCTGCATATAAGCAGCCAACCCCAAAGAGGTTTTTAGAGAGGAGAGAAGACGCAGGAGAGGAGGAGTGTCATGGTTTGAATTATGTCCCCCCCAAAATGTGTGTATCAGTTTGGCTAAGCCATGATTCCTGGTACTGTGTGATTTTCCTGTATGTTGTAAACCTGCCTCTATGATGTTAATGAGGGAGGATGGGTGGCAGTTGTGTTAGTAAGGCAGGACCTGATCTACAAGACTGGATTGTGTCCTGAGGCAATCTCTTGAGATATAAAAGACAGAAGTGAGCAGTGAGACAGGGGGACCTCATACCATCAGGAAAGCAGTGCCAGGAGCAGAGCGTGTCCTTTGGACTGGGATCCCTGTGCAGAGAAGCTCCTGGTCCAGGGGAACACCGAAGAGAAGAAGGCCAACAGAGAAGAAAAGCCTTCCCCTCTAGCTGACGCCTGAATTTGGACTTTTAGCCTACTTTGACTGTGAGGAAATAAATTTATCTTCGTTAAAACCATCCACTTGTGGTATTTCTGTTATGGCAGCACTAGATGACTAAGACAAGGAGGGAACCTCCTAAAAAGAGTTGTAATACAGGTCAAGCGCCGTAACACTTAAGATGGCGTGAGATGGCACTGAGCACAGCAGAGCTGAGCACTGCAGAGCCGAACGGCAGAGAAACAGTGGCAGCAGTACAAGCGGCAGGAACCACGAGACTGGCAGACAGTGGTGGTGGGAGAGTCAGCCCATGGAGCGGAGCTGGGTGCCTTGTAAAGGGGAAGTAGCCACAGTCCGGGCCCATGCAGGTGGACACCCAAGCACAGCAAGCAGCAGTACGGGGTGGAGCTGGTCTGCCTTTGACAGTGGCAGATGCCCTGGCTGTACTGAGAACTGTAACCCTAAGGCCTAGAAGGTCTCAGTGTTAGAGGCTTGGGAGATCGTGTGCAGGAGTCTTCCCAGCAATGAGGCAACACCCAGTGAGGCCCAGCAACAGAGCAGGGGCCTCAGGGGCAGTGCAGGCCCCTGGGCAGCATGCTGGTAAATGAAGGCAGAGAGGCATGCACGGTACGCACTGCCCAGAAGAGCGGCCTGCCTGAGTGCATGGCGGAGAGCAGCTGAGAGAGCTGTCCTGATCAACAAACTGCATCCTGTCTCCTGAGTTGTTCCTGTTACTTCCAAGTTGATCCTGATCCCGAGTTGTAGCCTGTTAACTACCCTAATAGACCACATAATCGTATGGTGTGTGAGTTCATTGCGTAATGATAGAGGCTGCAGGTGCTGAAGCCAGAAGACTTGGGATGGGCTGGCTGTGTATCCCTGAGCAAGTCACTTGGTGTCCCTGTGCTCAGCTTCCTTGCTGTTGTGGGGATGCTGACAAGAATGTGTAGGGCCCATGGCATAGGCTGTTGGGAGGACCCAGCACACCATGAGGGCCCAGCCACGGTCACCTTCACGTGAGGCCCAGATGTGGAATGACCCTACGCCGGATGATAGGGCAGGTGGGCCTCAGTGTGGTGTGATGAGGCAGGCAGCATCTGTACACCAGGAACCTCCCCTACTCCACATTATTCTCTGGAGGGGCG